ATTTTTGACTGCGTAGAGCCCTTTCGGAAGCTTTTTGGTATTTTGTCTTTCTTTTCTTCCCCTGCCCCCTCACAACAAATCTGTGACTTAGGCAGAGCAGGTCTTATCACCCAGTTTTCTAAATGGAGAAATTGGGGTATAAAACAATGAATTAGTTTGTTAGAAGTAGAGGTGACTATAGAATCTATGTCTCCTGACTCCAAATACACAGCTTCAGATTTATACCCTTCCCTCAAGCCCAGGTATTTGTCTGCTCAGGGTACCTCAAATGCAAGGATGGCAGATACATTCTAGTCAGTGCCCCCAGTAACATTTACTTTTTAAAATAAATTTTTTTTTTTTTTGTCACGCCATTCATTTGCTGCTGCAAGGTCATTTGTTGCTGATCCCAAGAGCATCCAAACAGCCTCCTCCCGTTTGTTCTTGTCTAGAAACAGGCCCTGCTGACAGGATTCCAGGGAGCTGGCTCTTGTGTTGGGCTTCACTTCCTTTGAGGAATTGTCCCTCTTCTGTTCTGTATGAGCCTGGTGGACTAACAGTCCTGTCACCAGCACCATTTCAGGGGAGAACACAGGCCTTCAGTTACACCCGACAGATTCTCTCTCCTGGCCATTGAAGGTTGAGTGGGACCCCCCAGGGAAGGCAGGAGCTCAGAGCTGAGTCCTGCATGGCAGGCACACAGAGAGACAGCATCCAAGGCCCCAGTGCTGAGACCGCGAGGGCCGCCCAGCTCCTGCCCTCCCTAGGCCTTGTCGCTCTTCTCTTCCTACTGCTTCTGGCCCCTCTGAAGGGCTCTGGCACAGGCCTCCTACTGTGGGAGGGAGACCGATGGCTGCCCTGCTGTGAGAGACTGCGAATCCTGATCCCTTCTCCAAGTAAAGTTGGAGAGCATGACTCGGTGACCTTGGCTGGGGAGTTCATAAGAGAACTTGTGTTTAGAAGGGTGGTAAGGGCAGAGAAGACATGAGAATGTCCTCCTCAGTGCCCCACCGACCTGGGCTGTGCAAGTGACACCAGGGCTTGGAACCCTGAGTCCAGACCTCAGGGTCACAACAGGCTCCTATTGCTCAGCTTCAACATCTGCCTCTTGTCTTCTCAACACTTTCCAGGTTATGACACGACACTCACTTCTGTAACAGATAAACCCCCAAGTCGCAGTGGTTTAAACCAGAAACTATTTCTCACTCGCGAAGAGTGCAGTCGAAGAGCCGCGTGATTTGAAGACCCGGGCTCTCCTGTCCTGTGGAGAGGTGTGACAGATCCTGCAAGAGGTTTTCACGTGTTCGGTCTGGAGGGGCCAAGGCACCAGCAGGACATTTTCTCTACATCTATTTGACTTGAGTTCCATGAGGGCATGAGCTTTGTCTTGTTCGCCATTCTATCCATTCCCTAAAACATAGTCCATGGTCACGCCTGCCTACGGAGCTGGAAACGCCACCTAGCTGTGGCCTGCAGGTGTCAGGAGGCTTTGACCAACACCAGTAGTCTCTCCTCACAGACCTCCCCCTAGGATCCTTTTCTTCTTCCTGCTTCTTAAATGTGAGTGTGTCTCAAATTCTGCCTCACCTCTCTCCTCTCTGTATCTCCTGCCCCTCTCACACCTAGGAGATGAGATGCCTCTGCATTCTGTGGAGACTACCCTCATGTCGACCTTTCTAAATAGTCATTGCAAAGCTATGACTCTTTCAAAATAATTTCTGTATCTTTGTTTCTTGTCCTGTACTATCTAACCTGAGTCCTGTCACTCATTCATTTACCTAACAAATATTTTTTTGAGCCCTCTCTGGGTGCCAGGTCTTTAAGGGGAAAGTTTTTAAATGCTTGAATCAGAAGCTTATATTTAACATTTTATTGGGAAGTTCAAAGAAAGCAAGGGAGGGAAAAAGGGAAGTGAGGAAGACAGAGAAGGAGAGTAAGTACAAGGAAGTGAGTTTCCAAGCTGCCTACAGATTTGCAATAAACACAGCTGTGGCTCAGTCCTCAGGACATCTCCAGCAAGGCCGTGTGGATGAGTGCGGCTCCGAATGGTCCCATGGCAGCGGGGCGGTGGTGTGGGGCGAGTTTGAACTTCTGTCTGCTGATTTCTTTTTTCTCATCTCAGACTCGGTCAGAGCCTGGCTTGTGGGCATGTAACCCCTGCACTTCTCATTCGTATTCCTGGCTTTTCCAGGAAGCTGCTGGGAAGCCAGGGCCTCAGAGGAACCACCAGCCGGGTGCAGGCCCAGCACCAGCTTCCTCTCAGTTGGCTCCTTGCTTGCAGGCTCCTTGACCGGGGAAACAGCCCCGGAATTGTCAGGAAGCAAGACAAGGGACTGGGCTGGGTGGGGTGGGCGGAGTCGGGGCCAAACTCTGAGCAGGGTTCTAGGGACAGAATCACGAACAAAACAGAGTTTGCTTGTCAATGACCCTAACTGGTGTTATAGAAATGTCCTGCTGGTACATCAACCTCAATTTAGACAAAACAAAGGTCCATAATCCCCTTCCAATCTCAGTGTGTTTCTCATGGTAATGAATTCACCATCCTCTTCGTCATACAGATTCATCCCTCCATCTGCCTCGCAGTCCTTCCCACACCCCCACACGTCCTCAGGTTCAGTTAATATTTATTGAGAGCCCCCTAAGTGCCAGAAGTGGGAGAATGAAGGATGTCCTGCTCCCCACTGAATACACAGCATCCAGCTCAGGGCCTCTGCAGCACCTGCAGAATGATTGGACACATCTGTGATTTAATCACCACAACAGCCCTGCTGTTTAAGTCACAAAATCACTTCTGCGACTTGTTTCCTTGTCCCTGTGCTCTTAGTCTTAGACCTTTCACCAATGAGAATTTCAAGAACGACCTGGTGCTCTGATTCTGGCCTCGCTCCTTCCAGACTCATTTCTGAAAGCTGGCCCCAATCAGTCTTCCCCGCTCCAAGCTCCCCGATGGCTTCCCACTGTGCACCCCATGAAATCCAAGTTGACATGGGTCTCAGGGCTTCCAGGGCCTTGCCTCAGTTTGACCTCCTGTCCTTCACTCACATCCCTTCTACACTGTACCCAACAGAACCACTCCCATTTTCTCATTCACACACTTTTGCTCCTAGGATTCCTTCTACTCTGTTTTCCTGGGGAGCACGCTCCCCTAAATGACCGCTTTTCAATGACTGTTAAGATTATAGTGAAGAGACGTTAGACGCAGTGCCGAGAAAAAACAGGTTGAGACCTCAGGCCCGCCGAATGACACTGTGTGGGGCTCTGCCCTGACATGGAGCCTTTCTCTGCACTGCCTCCTCCATGACCCGCTCACCTGCACGTGTTCAGATCCTTGCATCCTTCAAGCTCTGATTCAAATCCCTCCTTTCCGTAAAGCCTTTTCCTCCCCTAGAGATCTTCTAAATCCCCACACCCCTTTAGCTGTGTTCCTTATACCATTAGCTGCACTACGTCCTACTTCCACTGATAAAATGCAAGTATCCACTTTGTGTTCCTCAACAGGTCCGACAGACTCAGATAATAGAATGGTCGTGTGCAGGGAAGGCAGGGAGGACCTTCAATGGATGCAGCCTCAGGGCCTCCCCCGCAGGGTAGAGGTTGGTCATCACTCTCCACTGGAGCACATGTCAGAGAAAGAAAAGGGAAGCTGCTGACTTTTGATCCACATGGACAGAGGAAGTGGGGACCAGAGTCTGAGGATGGTTAGTGACTTGGCTGCCAAAGGTGTTAAGGATACTTCTGCAAACATCCCCTAAAGGTATAAGTTTCAGTCCCCTGTTCAGAGGCTGTAAGGACTAGCTGAACATAGCTCACTTCCTCTACCCAAAAGCACACACAGCAACAGGCTGCCGTGGCAACTATTACATGTCCCCTGAAACAGGCTCACATGTGTCCCTACACCTCCAGAGGCTCTCATTCTGTCTCTCTCTCTGGACAGTCACTGTAGTCAAGCTGCTGAATTACTAAAATCAAGCAGGTTGAGACACGAGGTAACCATCCTATTCTTGTTTAAACAACCTGGGAACTTCAACTTTCTAGTCCTTCATCTGTGCCTGGATATACATCAGACCTCCAGATAACCCTCTGATTACCCCCGGAGAACTGAGGAAAGAATGTTCACATATCCAGACCACCTAACCTCCATTATCTAGACCACTGGTTGTTTGAAGGTTACCATCTCTGACCAATCCAAAGGCCAAGGATGTAGGACCGATTCTTCCCAAGGACATGCTTTCTACTGTACGAACTGCTTTCCTTTCTTCTTTGGAACACTCTGGGTATTGTCTAGTTGTCTGGGTATTGTCTGCAGTTTGCAGACTCTAAGACTATTGAATAAATCTCCATCACTTATCTCTTCCTAAAGCCTCCAGACTCTTTCTGAGTTTGTTCAACATGTCTGCCAACCATACCTACCCAAAACATGGCTCCAGGCAGCTCAAAGAGATACCAAGATTAGGCTCACACTAACCACATTTTAAATTGCTGTAGTCTACTAACTGCTTCAAGGTGGGTCACACATTCTCACCTGAGAGACCCAGGAAGATGTCAGGACTTGCTTCCCATAAGTCTGGTGTGTGTGCAGTGTGTGTGTGGCGATGCGGTATGAGGTGGCGTGTGTACAGGACCAGAACGTCTGCTGACCAGGCCGGTGGTGGGACCAAACCCACTACACATGTCAGTCTAATACTTCAACAGATAACATGGCCGCTTTGCTGGATGGCTTCCAAGAGCAGAAGCAGAAGTTCCTGAAAACAGCCGGAGGCTATCTATGGGGCCCACAAAGGCCTGTCATTTTCCAGGTCCTCCCAATGACAAGCTTTTACCCTCAAGCCTCCCACTCCTCATCCCCCCTCCCAGGGCCTGAGTCCCTGTAAACAAGTCCTCACAGGGCCCCAAGTCTAGTCGGCTCTGAAGCCTAGCTTTCTAGTTCCACCCCACCCCCTCCACCCACACAGCTGAGGTCACCAGGCCCAGCCTCTTTTGCAACTTTCCCAAGTCTCTGCATGAGAGGGAGAGGAGGAAAACTCAGAAGGAAGTGGCTTGGCCTCAACAAACTCTTTTTTGCTTCCAACGCCTTTTTCTTCTGACCCAGCTGAGACTGTTGATCTAAGAGGAGACCCCCCGGACTCAGAGAAAACTCCCGCCGCCCTCGGAGGCTGGATGCTAAGCAGCCACAGCTGTAAGTGCCTTGGAAGTTTTTCTTGGTTCTTCTGTCTGTCCAGCAGCCCCCAGGAGCATCTGAGTTTTGGTGGGGAGGAGCAGAGGCAGGGGCTGCAAGGATGAGGCTTGGAATCTGGCAGCTGAGGGCTTAGGTCCAGCCTAAAGACCCCCACACAGGAGAAACTCCCAGGACATGGCAGCAAGCCAGGCAGAAAAGACTCCCCGCCCAGTACTGGGAACTGGGGCCCAGCTCGGGGTTCTGCACGGGCCGATGCAGCTGCTGGCATAGTCGGAGGAAGGCCAGCCAGAAACCAGAGTCTTTTGAGAGGGCTGAGTCCTGCGAGCACCAGAAGTCCCCCTGACACATCAGCAGGGTACCTTCTGGGATGGCACTATCTCACCCAAAGGGTCTCATCAGCAAGGGGAAACCCTGGAGTAGGAAAATGTTCCTCTTGTTCTAAATCATAAGTATTTCTCTTAGCACAACTCTGCAATGCTAGGCGAGCCAGTGAACAGTCAGACAGACCTGGGTTCAGTCTCAGCTTGCCTCAGGAATCCACTGGGCATGACAGCATTTAGTAAATTGCAAAGTGCCCTATAGTTCCTAGGCATTATGTATTAATACAAATAATCTATTTGGGTCCACTGATCAATCCCCCACCACACAAGTCCCATGGAGAGAGTTCTTGTCTGTATTCTCAGACCTACATAGTGCTGATGCATAGTAGGCATATAGTACATGTGCTGGGTAGATGGACACATAGATGGACAGATGAATGGATGATGAATGGATAGATGAATGCAGATGGATGGATGGATGAATGAATGAATGGATGGGTAGATGGAGATGGATGGATAAACGGACGGATGACTATTTATAGATGAATTAATATTTCCAGCGCAGGTCAGGCTCTTTGGAGGGATACAGAGAGGTATGAGGCACTGTCTGCCCTCTGAACAATGCCAGTTTACTTTGGGAGACAGAGCTAATGCTCCCAAAGAACTTAACAGGAGTGCTGAGCCTCCTGAAACTGGAGCTGATCTCCCCCTGCTCGCAGGTCTCCCTCATCCCTCCTCGTTAGCAGAAACAATACCTCACTCAATACAAATGGGACAGAAGATTGTGCATGAGTTCTAGTTGGAGCCAGTGGGGTAGGAAGAGAAATGGGAATGTGAGAGAACAGCAGCTCCAAGAGTTCTTGTATGACTGGCGCCAAGCCCGGGGGTATTATTACATTTATTTATTTATTTATTTATTTATTTATTTCTCCTCAGGGACTGAGCTACACTATAGCTTTGGCAGATGGGCAGAGCCAGGGCTCTAGGCTTCGAGGTGCTGCCGGGCAAAAAGGGGAGAAGAGTTAGTCACACACAATAGAGAGCAGTGGCCTGAGATTCTCCTCTGTGTGGGCCTGCGCTGGCTGAAGGCAGGGCCCTGCATTCCAAGTCTGCTTTTCGCTGTTATTTAACAATGAAGGGCGATGACTCAGCCTGGTCTCTAGGAGGATGCCCAGGTTAGAAGCAACTGAGTGATCCGAACAGGTGGGGGGAGGCTTAAAAAGACCGCTTTGCCAAAGTCCAGCCAAGGGAGATGTGAAACTACCTTTGATATCTGAAATCCACACATGCCTCCTGGGCGAGCCCAGCCAGGGTCTACCCCCAAGCCGCCCTCCCTCAGCACTGCCACAGTCCTGGTCACCCTCTTGTTGCTGCTGGTTATCCTGGGCCCATGGACCAGGCTATTTTACATAGCAGCCTCAGCAAACTCCTGCCCTTCTGGGAGTGGGGTCGGGGAATCTGCAGTGGCAGCTGCAGCATCGGGAGAAGGGGACCAGGATGAGGGTGGGGTGAGGGGAGGTCACAATCAAGGCCGAGGTGAGTTACAAGGATTTGGAGAAGAAAAGACTCAAGTAAAATGCAAAGAGAAGACTTTAAACCTCAGAAGGGCTAGGATGGAACTGAGCGCTCCAGTCCCCCAGGAAAAAGTGGGGGAAAGAAGCTCTGTGGAGGCAGGTCTGACTCCATCTTTCCACGAGTGTAGAAGAGATGGCTCAAGCAAGCCCTGGGTGGGAGATTGGACTGGAGGCCCTTCCTAAAATGTGCTGGAGCAGGCTCCGCTGGCAGTCTGAAACCGACTGTGGACGGAATATTTATACCACAGCAAGTGGCAGGCACTGCAAATCTGCCTCCCCCTCGCCCCTCCCCCAGTCGTTAACCAGTTATCTGGGTTCCCGAATTTGGGGAGCCAGTTCTGCTCTAAAAGCATGACACAGGACACCCTGCAGAATAAGCCACGGGCATGAGTGATGTCCATTTATCCACGAGGGAACAGCCTCACCAAGGTTAAGTAACCCGAAGGCACAGATGTATAGCCGTGGAGTGAGTACGCTGACTCGAAAACTCCTGATCGCTCCATGGGACCAGGGAGGCTGCCTCTTGCGCCCAGACCCAAAGTGATTCGTCCCGTCAGGAAGTCACACTCAGGCGACTTCAGGCTACCATCCAGCCATGAGCTCTTTTTAAAGAAATATTGTCTTGACTTGATATTTTTTAATTACAACAACTTAGTCTCATGTAATAAATTTTAATACAAGACATATAAAATAAAACGATACCTCTAGCCTTTAATCTCCCTTTCTCCACCTCCTAGTAATCACTTAATGTGCATCTGTCCTTAGCTTTCTGTGTATTTACAGGTCAAGCATAAATATAATATTAAACACATAGTCACACATACAGGGTTATTGTTTGTTTTTGTATGATTGGGATCATACTATACAAAGTGTTTCTTTTTCACTTAATTATATCATATCTTTCTGTTTCATTAGTTCATTCTCACTCAGAGTATGAATGGATTATAATTTGTGTTGAGAGAGTCTTACTGATGGGCACTGAGGTTACCACAATGCTCCTCAGCAATCACCTTTGTACAACTGTGTGTCTGAGTACATGTGCATTTCTGTGGTATGGAGTCCTAGAATTAGAACCTAAGTGTGCCCATGTTAAGCACTGAGATTGACAAATTGCCCTCCAAGGAAGACTGACAATTCATACTCTACCAACAATATACAAGAGCATTACCTCTACACACTCGCCAACTCTAAATAGTATCACTAACCTTTTAAATGTTTTGCCATGCTGGTGGATGAAAAGGAGTGATATTTTTAAATTTGCATGCCCTTAAAAATCGGTGAGGTTGAGTTACCTTTTCAAAGCTTACTACTAATCATTTATAAGACTTCTAAGGGTTTAGTTCATATCCTTTGCCCACTTTTATGCTGTATTTTGCCTTTGATGATCTGTAGACTGCTTTGCACATAATGGGTTTTGATCCTCTGTTGTACATAGTTGCCCCTTCTTACGCACATGAGCTCTGCTGCGTGGCCTCAAACCCACGCCACCGAGCGCTGCAGCCTCTCGCTGGGGTGCCCAGCGCCAAGGTGCGTGATCCTCATGCTAGGTTTGCAGAAGGCAGTCAGCCCAGCAGCCAGGAGTGTGGTCTCTGGGGTTAGACCTAGATTCACCGTAGTTCCAAATCCAGGCTCTACCACGTATGGGCTATATATATATCTTTAGAGATGAATGACCTAACTTTCCTTAACAACTCTTTCTTCGGTAGTAAAATAGAGAGGATAGGAAGAGTGTCAAAATCCCACAAGCTATGTTTTTGTGTGCTAGTAGTCACAAAACAGCTAACATTTCTTGAGCTCTCAATTGGTACCAGTAAATGTATTATAATGATGTAGTACAATAATGTATTAATTTATTTAACCTCATAATAGTATACACATTGTTTATTGGTATATTCACAAAGCCCTCTCACGGTTCCCGGAAACACATGTTGGCTTTCTGTGGGAGCCTCGTCTCCGGGCGTCACATCACAGCATCGGCGCGGTCCCTCCGCCTCAGTCCTCCCACTACCGCTCCAGCCGCGCCGCGCCTGGCCCCTCCCGCCCCACTGTCACCCTGGCCACTTTGGCTGCCCTCTCTCGATCTCCTCCAACTCTACTAGGGTTTCGTTAGACTCACCAAACCTGAGCCCAGGCCCTGGAGCCTGTGCACATAGACCCTATGAGTTCCAGCTCAGGGGGAGAAGGGGCAACGTGGCACAGCTGGCCCATGTGCTCTGTGAGCCTGTATGAGTGACCAGTGTCTTGGCTTCTCTGAGCCTCCGTTGTAAGCCTCTCACAGGGCTTTGGGGAGGATTCCCTACGTTCTACGGAAGGTACAAAGCAGCACCGTGCGGGCTTCTTTCCCATATCCCCTGGCCTCCCTTTTGTTCTCATTCGCTTCCTAAGGCACAGCATTGGCTTTGAAGCTAAGTTAGCACGTTGTACCAAAACCTTCCGGAGACAACCCACATGGCTCCTAGTTCCTTCTCAAGCGGTAACTGGTGCTTAGAGGCCCATGTTTTTCAGGGGCTCGGAGTCACTTCTCCCTTTGCTGGTTTCGCTGCAGGCAGTGACACCCATTACAAAATGCCAGCCCCAGTTAATACCTTGAATTCTCTTCCTCACGTGCCCAGAGCATAGGAAATGCTGATGGATGGATGGATGGATGAATGAATGAATTAATTAATTAATGGCAGGATCCTTGGTCTAATATTCATGTCCCTTCTTAATCCTTCTCCCTCTCCAGGCTCTCCTCTCTCCACAGCTCCCCACCAACCGTTCCCTGAAGCCAACCGTCCACCTTCTCCACTCAGCTGTTCCCAGGTCATTCCTGTTTGTAGGGTCACTGCCTCCCTCTGAAACATCAGCCCCCAACCACGTATCTCATTTCTGCAGGGCCTCGTTCAACTGCGAGCTTCTCTCCTTGCTGAACTCCCACAGCACCCTCTCTGTGCTTCTGTTGGGGCACTTGACACTCTCTCTCTGGTGTACTGACTCAGCCCTGTCCTTTCTCCCCTGATGACTTCCTGGAAGGAGGGTGGGCAGTCCTATTTGCTTCGTGCTCGCCCAGCGCCTAGTGCAGGGCTTCGCGGGCAGTAGGCATGCTGGCACTTGTTGAATGAATGCACAAACCACTGAGAAGACCCGCTGCCCACCGTGTGAACCCAGCCATCCTGGGCCCACTGCCACCGACTCTGGCTCCTGGGTCAAGCAGCCTAGGCAGAACCTCAAATTCCCTTTGAGCCATGGCATGGCTCATGGAGGGACACTAACAGTCCTAGGCTTTTTAGGGTTTTCTATTTTAACTAGGCATGTCTGGGCAAGGCTCTTGAGGCCCAGTGAGTTACAGCTCCAGTAGATAAAGAACATCGTTCAACCAGAAGAGACCTTGAGTCTTTGGGATCTAACTGGCTCATTCTCTGTTTGGAAAGCCAAGACTCAGAGAGGGGAAGTAACTGGCCCAAGGTCACACAGTGACAAAGTGAGAACTAGAGCATCCAATGCCTTAGGACATCCAATCTAGAGTTTTTTCCAAGTACGAGTAGAACTCAAGCTGACCAACTTTTGATACTTTAGTCAGACAGAGTCAGATTTAAGTTTACTCAGTGCATCCAAGGATAGAAGACCCAGGAGTTGGGAATACTGTGTACATATGTGTGCATTTAAGGGTAGAACCAAAGAGGCAGGTAAGCACAATCCCCGGCAACAGTTTGGCTTTATCTTGTTAAATAAAATAGAATGAAAGAGCATATATAAATGTTATATATAAACTACGCACATGTACATAATGCATATTTTTCTCTTATAGGAACAATGCATGTTTGACATATTTATTGTAAAAAGTTGAAACATACTAAAAAGCATAGAGAACTTCATGTAATTTCCCACCACTCAGAATTAAACACTTGAATTTTTAAAACATTTTTTCGAGAACGTTTTCTATCCAAACAGGAATTTATTGTAATGTCTGGGGTGGTATTATGTACGCAGTTTATTGTGTTCTGTCTTTCATTTAGATCCTGTAGCAGCACTTTCCCACATTATTGTAACATATTCAAAAACTCCATTTTCATGACTGCTTCACAGTTCATTGTGTGTCATGACTTATTTAGCCACTTCTTTAATGTTGGCTGTTTATAAATAATCCTGTGAAGAACATCCTTGAACAAGAGTCTTGCCCACATTTCGGATTATTTCCTTAAGACAAATTTCTAGTAAGTGGAGAGCAGGGACATGTTTAAGACTCTCACTACTTGCTGCCAATTAGCTTTCCAGAAACATGTCCCAATTACAACCCCACCAGCTGCCGCAAAGAAGAGCCTTTGATTCTGCAATTGCAGCAACACCTCAGGCTGGGGGAGGGGTGCGCTTCCATCCAAAGCCTCTTGGGTAGTCCTGACAATGGACCCCTTGTCCTGCCTCCATCTGCTCTTCCCAAACTGCCCTCCATTCCTGGCTCCAGGCTTGACTGTCTGCGAGGCCTCTGTTCAATCCTCTCCGGCCTTCCTGGCAAATCCAGGCGGCCTCCAAGATCAGGGCTGGTAGAAAGGTAAGAGACACACCTGTCCCATGGCGTCATCACCTTTCTAGCCCTTCCATCCCTTCCAGCTTTGGGGAAGCCCCAGAGGAAGTGTGGAGGAGGGTGTGTAAGGATGGCCAAGTCACCCATCTGTCAACCTCACCCAAGTCCTCCACCTAAGGCAATGACCCATGTCTAGGGTGAGAATGCAAAGGCCAGCCTCAGTGACAACAGCCACAGGAGAATCTCTGGCCAGCATGTGGGTGACTTCTGTTTCCCTACAGGTTCTGAAGCCCCTCCATGAATCCCCGGAAGAAGGTAGATTTGAAGCTCATCATCATCGGAGCCCTGGGGTAAGCCAAGCTCAGCTCAGAGTCTGGAAGGTGGGAAGCAGGTCCCTAGCCAAAGGTAGTGAGACCTCCTGAGTGTGTTTCCGTCTCCTGTGGGTCATTTTCTGATTCAAGGCAGCATTAGGGAGGGCATCCCACCCAAAGGAGGAAGCTCAGTAGGAGAAAGAGACTTGGAGTCTGGCCAGCTGGTTTCTGGTCCAAGCTCTGCAATAACAAGCCGCTTAGCATCTCTCTGCCCTCCTCCCACCCCCAGCCACATACAGGGAAAGCCTGACCATTGCTTTGGGTCACCCAGCTCTCTTCAAACTTCTCTGCTCACTTTGACTGGCCCCAACTTCTAGAAACCATTTCTAGTCCCTTGCTACTCAAACTGTGATCCTTGGACTCCATATGTGAGAATCTCAGGGAGAGATGGTGTGGTAAGATTTTGAGAATGGTATGGATGTGTGTACGTGTTTGAATGTGTGTGTTTACATGTGTCTGGGTTTTTTCCTCAGCGTAGGAAAGACCTCCCTCCTCCACCGCTATGTGCACAAGACGTTTTACGAGGATTACCAGACCACACTGGGGGCCAGTATCCTCTCCAAGATCATCATATTAGATGACACAACTTTGAAGCTACAGGTGAGCGGCCCTCCCTTTCCCTCTTCAACATTCATACCTGAAAATCACCCCACACTCTGTGAACAGCCATTCACACAGCAATGTGTACCAGGAGCTAGAATGATTTACAGCAGACATCAGCAAACTTCAGCTCATGGAACAAAGCAGGCCCACCGCCTGTTTTTGTAATTAAAGTTTTATCAGCAGAGAGCCATGTCCTCTCATGATCTGTGGGTGTTTTCACACTAGAGCAGCGGAGTTGAGTAGTTGCAACAGACAATATGGTCTGCAAAGCCTAAAATATTTTTTACATGGCTCTTCACAGAAAAAAGAAAAAAAAAAAAAAGCCGCTTCCTGACCTAGAAGAATGAGCCCTAAATCCAAGAGTTGAGAAGTCTTATTCTTAATCTCAGGTCCCTGGAAAACTTGCAGAGTGGCCTTGGCGAATCATTCACAAGGTCCAAATCTCAAATCTATCAGACGGGAATAACAGTACCTGGCCTTATGGCCCAGGGGAAAACAAGAGCTCTTGCCTAAGTACTCTTGGATGCCAAATGTGAGTTTCAAGATACTGTAGCATGCATGGGTGACAGGGTCAAGGCGCCTGTGAGTGAAAAGACCACGTGCACCTGTGCCAGGGCTGTCTGCTTCCTACCCAGAAAAGAAAGCTTTGACATGATGTGATCTAGTTAGGCCAAACTTTTCACTACTCATCAGCCCCATGAAATGGCTTCTTTTCCCCTCCAGATCTGGGACACAGGAGGACAGGAGCGGTTCCGCTCCATGGTGTCCACATTCTACAAAGGCTCCGATGGCTGCATCTTGGCTTTTGATGTCACTGATATGGAGTCCTTTGAAGCTCTGAATACCTGGCGGGGTGATGTTCTGGCCAAAATCATTCCAATGGAGCAGTCCTATCCCATAGTGGTGCTGGGGAACAAGATCGATCTGGCAGACCGGCAGGTACCACTCATTCATTCATTTATTCATTCATTCACTAATCATTATGTGAGCAACGACTGTATGCCAGACACTGTGTTAGACACATTCAGAGCTCAACCATACATAGTACTTAACTTAAAAACTTCGCAGTCTAGGAGTGGAGAGAGACATTTTAAAAGATAATTATGACACACTATGGTAAATGCAATGATAGAGATAGACCTGGGCAATTTGGAGACCATAGTGAAAGTACATCTACTGAAACCCAGAATCTAGAAAGGGCTTCCTAGAGTAGGTGGTGTCCAGGCTAATGAAACAGCATGAGCAAAGGAAAGAAATAGCATGATATGAGCTGAGAACCAAAGGCAACTTTGTCTAGAGACAGGGAGTAGAAGAATTAAGGCATCAGAGGTAGGCAAGTGGAATGCAAATTAATGTAGGACAGTATTTCTACCAGGGTCAGGTAGGGGGTTTGCAGTTATAAATCCTTGAATGTACAGATTTTCTGAGAAAGCACACATGTATTTTTTTTTATTAGCTTAAGTATATTCTGGATCACCTGACTAACCACTGGATGGCTTGTCTGTTCCATGGCTGCGGTGACCCCACTTTGTGTAGGTATTCACTGCAGTAGCACCAAGTAGAGCTCTTTTCATCGTTGTCTACTCATGAGAAAAGACTCAATGTACCTTTTGCACCAGATCCCTCAGATGCGTGTCAGACACAAATCCACTGTAGCTACCAAAATCCAGGGGTCACATGTCAAGCTTTCCAAGTGGCCTCCTTGAAGCCCTTTCTGGGTGGAGGTGAGGCTTTTTGTGTTCTCCCTCTTTTGGGGAGTGCACACATGACACAGCTCTCTCCAAAGAAATCCTTTCTAATCTCCCTTTTCAATCTGTTAATGCCCATGCTGTGGGTTTTGGAGTCATCGAACAGATTCCTGGTCATGAACTTTTGGAAATACACAAGGTCCAGGGACAGTCTGTCTCCCAGCCCACCTTATATCTAAAATCTGTCAGATTATACTGCCTCTGCTGAAACTTTCACTTTAACATCCTGCTTCATTCACCTGCAGATCACAGGGTGGGAAGCTGAGGGAGTTCAAGGCTATCTGATCTTTTCTCAGTGAAATAAGAGGCACCATCTTCTTGAGCGGGAACTAAGTAGGAGTCTCAGAAACAATGGTGAAGCTTTGCCAGTTACTCTGGAGAAAGAGAGGTGGAGAAGCTAACTGAGGACAAAGATAAGAACTGATGGGTGACACTCAGGGCTTAGCTGGAGGAGGACACCAGGAGTCTGAGGTGGAGTCTTTGTGGTGTTTTTCTTCAGCAGCCTGTGTGGGGTAAGAGCGAGGAACAAGGGACCTGGGACTAAGATTTCTCCAGGCAAGAGTAGCTGAAGAACAGAGCTGTGAGGGCACTGAGGAACCAGGAAGGAATGAAGAGCGACAAGAAGAGGGCCCGAGGGCCAGGGGGCTGCGCTGGCAGAGGTGGAGGAGCAGGGCGGAGAGAATGATGGGGTGAGGAGGCTGAAGGGGAAGGAGACTGTGGTCACAGAACGGGAGACAGTGTGTAGCATTACTTAGAGAGGTCCTGGGCCTGCCCCTGGAAAGAAGAGGCTGAAGTGGAGAGACGTGATGTCTGCTGGAGGGAAGAAATTGCGATGCTATCGTGAGGGGCGGAGACCCTATTGTACGTGTCAGGTGGAGAGGAAGCCTTGCCAGATAGCGGGAGTTCAACAAATGAGGGGGTGCGGGCGGGGGGTGGGGGAGAAGTCCGGATGATGCCTTGTAGCGGTGCAGGGGGTCCAGTCCACCCTTGGGTGGAGGCGTGGGCTTTGTTCTGCAGAGAGAGGAAGATAAAGGCTTGAAAAAGGCAGTAAAGCCCCAGGCGAGCCTGATCCCGTCTCTGAGATACGTATCCTCAGCCAATACCAGCTTCTTCATCTGTGCAATGGAGGCCAGACACAGACTTCATGAAATTGTGTGAGGATTAAAGAAAATGAGGCTGATAAAGCATGCGGCAAGCTTAATAAATGGGAGCGATTGTTACCCTCCTTGTTATCTTTGAGGCACAGGCTGGGAAAACACGGGAAATTTTTCTACTCAATAAAAAGAAAATAAATATTAAAAACTCTATTGCTAAGCTTTGAGATAAAGAAAAATTTCTGGAGATGGGTCAGGGTGATGACCGCACAATGGGACTGTTTATACTTAATGTCCTTGAACTGTGCACTTAAATATAGTTAAAATGGTAGATTTTATGTTCATGTATATTTTACCACAATAAAAATATATATTACTAGAATGATTTTAAAGAAATCATTGACCTAAATTTTTTAAAATCCCTACTCTTCCTAAAGAAGGTCATAGAGTGAAAAATATTAGTTTGTTTAAAAGAACGGCTCTGTTCTTTTAACATCTATGCTGCAAGGAATTCATTCACTAGCATGTGAATCTTTGCTCTAAATTCAGGTAGGCAATTTTTGACTTACAACTGAGTTGCAATGTTAGGGTTATGTTTTCTGAAAATATTCTTTATTTCTGGTAGTGGTTTAAGATGCCTTTAACACTAATTTTAACAGATATGATCGGTCATTTTAAGTATATATGAGATGGGAAAGCATCATAAATAAAATTATATAAACTGGACTAATTTCCTCAAATCTTTGGCTTCTAATGAACCATCAAAATTGTAATAGGAGAAGTGAAACAGTAGTATATTCTCAGCAAAAGCAAAATTAATAGAAGTAATGCTTCCAACATTTTCATACTTCCTGTGTGCCCAAATATCACACCCAGTCAGAGTTTATTTCCAGTCAGAGCTTAAGTTACAAATAAATGTTACTTTATAAGTAAAAGACAAGATGATTTTCAAAATCATGAAACTGCAACTGGAGTTGGAAGAGGAAAGTGAAAATTACTGTCTAGGTTGTTTTCTTCCAAGGCCAGCTTTCTGAGGTTCAATAAGAGAGGTCGTAGCAGTGGAAAAAGTATGTTAATTTGCAACATAATCTTCACTGATGTTTTGTAGTTGTGTATTTAATCATTGCATGTCAACAGAACAGAGAAAGAGTGAGGATAAGGAAATAAATTATCTGTCGTAACCCAGTCATTGTCAAGAAGGAGAGATGGGACAGCTAAGATCAGCCAGTTATCGTTGCCACCTTGTCTTCCTAACTCTGTCGCTGGGTGACCTTGGACCCTAATCCTGGCTTCTGCCTATTGTACCATTAAATATAAAGAATCTCCTCACCTACAGGAGAAGCAGAGGCACTTGACTTCTCTGTATTTCATGTCAACTTCTACTGCAGCTCCTGAGCGCCAGTGATGTGCCCAGGAGAATGGTCATCACCTGGCGAGGGTGGGGGGCTCCGCAGGCAGGTGGGATTTAAAGAAGGAAGGAGCAATCGAAAGGTCAAGCCCGGTCCTTGGCCTCAAGGACTTTAAAAGATATAAAGTCTATAGTATTGTAGGTCAACTGTAATTGAAAAACTATTTTTAAAAAGACACCAAGCCCACGTGGCTGGTGTGGTTCAGTGCCGGATTGAGTGCCGGACTGCAAAGCAAAGGGTCACCAGTTCAATTCCCAGTCAGGGCACATGCCTGGGTTGTGGGCCAGGCCCCCAGTAGGGAGCACATGAAAGGCAACCACACGTTGATGTTTCTCTCCCTCTCTTTCTCCTTCCCTTTCCCTCTCTCTAAAAATAAATAATAAATACAATTCTTAAAAAAGATACCAAGCCCTTTGTATTTCTAAGATATCATCTAAGTATAGCATATTAATTTCTAATGAGTATGTATTTGCATGTTACTAGTGAGGACAATAGTAATTGGTAGCCTGGCCATCCTTGATTCTTCCCTGACATATAGTTCAGGATTTTCCCCAAGCTGTGGGACTTCTTGGTGACTCACTGGGTCTTGGGTATCTATGCTCTGCAGAGGGGAGCATTCATGGCCAATTCTGGAAACCCTGTCCCCAAAGGCAGGAGCATCTGAGAGATCAGAGGCTAAGACCAGGGCCTAGGGTTTCTCCCTGCTCTGCTCAGGTTCAGCCCCAGCTGGGACAGTAACTGGTCAGAGCCTGAGTAGGGAAGGTGGAGGTGTCATCTGGGGCCCCCAAAGGACAGGCTGCTTAGCCGACCCCAGCCCTGCCTTCCAGTGCTGGGTAGCCAGAACTCATAATGCCAGAGCAATGCCGGGGGAACAGCAGAGGCATGTGAAAGAGAGCCACGAGCCCTGGGCCACTGCTGAGACCAAGGAAGCAAAGACCAAAGAGGCAAGGGACAGCAGCGGTGCCTTTCGCCTTAATAAGATAAGTTCCCAGAACGTGCAGGGGCAAGGGAGACAGCTTGATGAGCGGTGGGGTCTGCACTGTGTTCTGGGAGTTGGACAGAATGGTCCTCTCTTCATGAGAAAAACCCTTCAATCAAATGAAATAATGGTTATAAAGCCTCAGGTACAAATGTTCAATATATGGTCATTTTTCTGCTCCCCGAAATAAATAGCTATTAAACTCAGCAGTACCAATTGTCTTTGGAAGTAACCTGCAGCGCTGCCAAACCATTTTCCAATCTAACATCCTCTAACTGTGACCGGCCGTTTGCATGTAGGTAGTGATATACTCCTTCAGCCTGCACTGGGTGGCTGACAGAGCCAGGCCAAGAGCTAAAAAGGCCCTGACCTTACACTCAAGGAACCTACAGTCCAGTGGTGGAGACAGAAAAGCAGCCCAGTTCTCATGCCGTGTCCTGCACAGGGCAGCTCAGGTGCTGTGAGAGCACTGAGCCTGGGCTTCCTGCACACCCTGCCCTTCTCAGCTGTGGGGTCTGAAGCAAGTCACTGAACCTCTCTGAGCCTCAGTGTTCTTATCCATAAAATGGAGCTAATAAGACCCATCTCAGAGGGTTATATACATGAATATGACAAGATATCTAACAGGGTGTCTGGCCCCTAGTAGGAGCGTATCAACTATTCCTAGGACTCTATCCTGGGAAAAAAGTATTAGCAGGGACCTGAGTGTCTGTCCAGCAACAGGCCTCCCGGGTGAGGGCCTGGTCAGCCAGTGGAGCGGGGAGGAAGTCCTCCATCCCTGGCTAGTGTCTGTCGTGTTTTCTTTAGAAGGGACTGAAGAAGGAGCCAATGGCAGGAAGAACTGCTGAGGGTAGGCGTTCAGAAGTTGGCACGGTACAATTCAGCCAAACACATGTTCAAATCCTGCTCAGCCCCACATGCTCTGAGCAAAGTCTTCTATCCTCTAGTGCTCAGTTTTCTCACCTGGAAAATGAAGCTAACAATAGCCACCTTGTAAATTTTTGTTAGGAAATAACATGTGTAAAGTTATGGACATGTGGAAGGTTCCCCCAACATGGGAGTGGCGGTAGAGATGGCAGGGATGGGACAACAGTGGGGTGACGGTGATGACGACACAAACAGTCACCATTTCTTCCCGCACTCAGGTGCCGCAGGAGGTAGCCCAAGGCTGGTGTAAAGAGAAGAATATTCCCTACTTTGAAGTCAGTGCCAAGAATGACATCAATGTGGTACAAGCCTTTGAGATGCTGGCCAGCCGAGCTCTGTCGAGGGTGAGTGGTTGTGGAGCAGCACTGGGCCAGGCTGCCCCCAGGGATGGGGGTCTCGGGAGCTTCCAGGAAAGAACAATGGGCACAGGTAGGCATGGGGCGGACCAGGATTGCTCGTCGTTTTAATTAATGAGTTGCGGCACGGGCTCAACAGGACCCCAGCTCTGGGACCACAGGATGCCAGAGGTACCGAGCTACCCCAAAGTAGTGCTGGTCCCTCCAGCTGGCTGACGTCAAAATCGTTTGTGGAGTTTCTAAAACAAAAAAAAATACCGTTCTGTACCCATCCCTGGAGATTCTAATTAGTAAGGGCTTGAGAAGTGATCAGTTCAGTCCTCCTTAGTGGGAGAGAAGCCCTCTGGTGCCGAGCATTTGTCCAAGTGCAATATCAAACTTGCAGGAGTTGCTGACATGTTCCAAACAAAAAGATGGATAGATGCAGACCCAGGTGCAATGATCCAACAGGCATGTGTTGAGGGCGTCGCATGTGCCAAGCACTACACAGGGATCGGGGGCCCCTCGCCGTCATGGGGAGACAGATAGACACGTGAGTTGTTTCCACATAGGTATGGTAAGGTAGGGGAGGACTTGGTGATGGGACCCCAGAGGAGGGGGCACACAGCCCGCCCTGTGGCAGGAGCGGGGAGGAAATCAGGGAGGAAGATCAGGGAAGGCTGCCTGGAAGCAGCAGCAAGGTTTTAATGCCATTCTGATGTGGATATTGGAAACTTGGAAGAGGGCCCATGAGAGATTTGCATGGGGAGGAGCTCAGCTTATTTCATTATTCTGCTGCATTTAACCAAGGCGGGCTTCTTAGAAGAGGGGAGAAGGTCATTGTGGCAATGATTTATAGTTGAAGAAATGAGGAAATGAGGGTGGGAGGTTGGAGGCTTGTCCTACGTGGAAGGGTCTGCCATCTTCATGGGTGACTGGCCCACCTGGTCCTGCTCTGCCAGGTGCCCTGGGGAGAAGTACTTCAAGGCCAGCCTGGAGGGTCCACCATGGAGGGGCAGCAGCCACCTCTAGCAGCTGCCCAGGGAAGATCTTTACACTCAAAGCCTTAATCTCAGGGTTTGTCTCCTCAGGCTGTTCTTACGGTTCCCGCTCAGCCCCCAGCATCCACTGTCTCATGTTAAAGGGGAAAAGGGAAATGGCGCGGGGGTGGGGGGCCGCGCCCATCTCTAGTGCATGGTCAAGAAGTGTGGCTTTATTACTGTCCAGGAAGTTGGCTCCTAAAAGACAGCAGTGCCAGCTCATGCCATTCTCCGGGAAGGCAGAGAAACAACGCTTGACCTTGTATGGCGACCTGTGATAAATGGCCCTCCACAAGCACAACACAGTGATTGCCAAAGGCTCAGTCACAGGGAAGTTCCATCAGCCCACAGCCAGTGTCTACATGGGGTGAGCATCTGTCGTTTCTGGAGAAGGACTGTCTTGTAGTCTAGAAGTTATGTCTTTCTCGCTGTGTCACTTTTGTGATGTGCTTTTTAGTAGACGGTAGCTGGTCTGGTTGGTGTTTTTTTAACACCCACCTTGACAGAAGAATGGATTGGCAGCCCCTGCCAGTCCCTCATCTTAATGGAGAAATTCACTGAAGAGAAACCTGAAAGTACCCCCCTGCCCGTAAGTGGACCCCTGAACAAGCCATGTGACCTCTCTGAGCCTCCGTTTCCTCGTCTATAAAATGGAAATAATTCTTTCCCAGAAACATTTCTCGAGTTGTCGGGCTAGGGTTGGAGTTGTGCACCTCAGTGTCCCGCAGGTCAGACAGGAGGATAAGACAGTCACAGAAAGACCATCATGGAGTGAGACAAGTGCCCCAGGGGGCACAGGTGGCGGCACTGAGGGGACTCGGAGGCTGCTGGCGGTGAGGGTGGGGTGAGGGTGCCTGCCCAGGGGAGTGGCGCGTAAGCTGGATGTTGAAAGGCGATTCACAGTTTGCAGGTGGACTCGATAGGCCAGTGTGGTACAGGCAGGAGTGGCAGAAGGGAGGGGAGAAGGGCGTGGCCAGAGGCCCAGGCAGGAGCCATGGGGCTCCTGTGAGGAACCAGCTGCTGGTTCCGTCTGTAACAGAAAGAAACGTGGCAAGGAGGGTCAGGGCGACTAAAGAAGTGCACAAGGTCAACGGCAGCAGATCACAAAGGCCTAGTGACCCCCACAGAGACCTCAGACTTCCATGCTCTTCCAAAGCCATGAGACCATGCTCCCAGAGTGCACAGCCGGGCCCCCGGGGCATGCGGGCACTCACCCACACCTCAAACCCAACAGGGCGCATCTCTCTACAAAGCCTCCGTGACTCAGAAACTGGGAGGAGGAACATCTTCACATTAAAACAAACATACGTACTAGGGCAGAGAATGTAAAATTCACATGGATGTTTAAGGTGAAACCGGAGCTTGCAGATCTATATTTTAAGGTCAGACAAGAGTTTTCAAAGACATTTCCTCCAAGGGCGACTTCCCAGGGCGGCTGTGTGCTCATTCACTCTGGCCCAGAGGGTTATCAGAGGGAGATGGGAGAGGTGCTGCTGGCACAGGGCCGAAAGGCCCAGCCTGGGTGGGAGGAGCTCTGACGCGGAACAGGCTTGGCTCCGAATCCTCGCTCTGCCTCTCGCTCACCGTGTCCCTGAGCAAGGCAGGCAGCCTCCCCAAGCCACCACTTTCCTCCCTTTAAAATACAAATAACAATATCTTCCTCATGGTGAGGGTGCAGGGGCTAAATAAAGTAGTATCATAGCAGAGAGAAAGCATTACATAAAAAGTAGCTATTTGTAAATGAGACTACAAGTCAGGGTCTTCAGCGGGGCGTTTCCTGCCGCAGACAGCATGGGCTCGGTGGGTGGCTGAGAAGGTACTGCAACAGCCCAGGCATGAGAGGGTGCAGACAGCGAGGACGGGGCGGTTAAAAGAGACTTTAAAGGGAGGACCTTCAGGGGTTGATGATGGGAGAGTGCAGGAGGGGAGGAATCAGGAGCTGTTTAGGCTGATGACCGAGCTTGGCAAATAGAGGGGCAATTGATTAGGGATGCTCTGGGCCAAGACAGAAAAGACAGGGGAAAGCAGGAGCATCACATGGGGGCAGGGGTGACAGAGTCCATTGGAGCATGTGGCATTCAAGGGTTCTTGAGCTTCCTTGAAGTGTCAGAGTCCTGCAGCGAGTGAGGCCTGGATGGAAAGAGCGATTTCACAGTAGAGTGCCTTGGGAACAGGTCCTCTGTTAACATTTGGAGAAGAAGGTAGGAAATGACTTTAGTGTCACACTCTGGCCACTATCAAGGATTAGAGTATTTATTCTGAAATGATTCAGAATCCCCACATAATCATAGAAGAGAAACCTACCCTTCTTTGGGATGACAGGGGATCCGGGACGACAGGTTTTGCTTTCACCAAGTTGGCAACACCCTCCCTGCTGGGAGGATCAGACCAGGCTCCAGGAACATGCGTGGCCCAGTCCCCTTCGAGCTACCTGGAGAAAGAAAAAACTCTCATGTCCAGGAGGACAGCAGGGATGCTCGCCGGGCCTGCAGCACCTCCATGAAATCCTCAGGATGCAGGGTCCCAAGGCAGAGCCACGGAGGCAGCGAGGCTCGGAGCGCAGGCAGCCATAATCACACCCCACCGAGACGGCGCCTGCATCTGGGTGCTTTGTGTGACTCTGTAGTGAGATGCACATGTTTGCCAAGAGGATCAGAGCCTGGAGAAAAAAATGACACAGAAAACCTAATTATGGCCTGCCATCACTTGGAAGTTCTACAGGAAACCTGAGGAGTAAGATAATGCCATTATCGCGTGAAATGGTGTCATAAATGGGAAACGCTCAGGGTTGACTTGGACCTGGGAGGGTGTGGCTGTTATTGGGTGGAGAGAGCAGAAGGCCTTAGCCTTGCCAGGGTGGTGAAGGAGGGGGCTTCTCGCACCTTCCTGAGGCGGCAGCAGCAGCAGCAGCATTCGCTTGTTCTAGAATGAGGTGCCACGGAGCTCAGGAAGCCCGCGGCTTCTCCAGGCTCTCAGAATCTCCCTCCCCAAGACTGGCAGAGAGGGCAATGGCACCCTGGGGGCCCTGGGAGCCCAGACGGGCCTTTCATGGACATGAGGATGGGTCGCCAAGAGACCCAATGTAAAAAATTCCTGACCCCCTCCCCCCCGCCACTGCCAAGGTCTCTTCAGCTTTCATGGCAACAGAGAGACCAGGAAAGTGCCACAATAAGAGACTCCTTTCAAAGCCTGTCTTGCTGAGAGAAATGGATCATCCAATGTAAAAAGGACCTAATTAGCAACATTTTGCTCCTCCCTGTCCCTCATTGTGAGGTGCAGAAATGTCAGGATTTCAATGACAATCAGCTCAGTGGAGTGAGTGGGCCCTGCACACCGCAGAGGGGCCAGTCGGAGGACGGACAGTGCCTGGGGCTGCGTGGGCCAGGGCCCCTGACCCAGCCGGGTGGTGCTGGGGGACAGGGAGCCACTGGCCGAGTTTCTCTTCTCTGGCCCCTCCAGGCAGGACTGTGCTCCCTCAGGGGGAGAACTGGGGGAGCCTGGGGCACCCTGGGTCAGGTGTATAATGGGGGTGGGATTCTCCCCAGAAGAGGGGGAGACACCCCCAGATGGACAGGCCTTAGAGAGACTGCCTCCCATCCCCAATACTAATCCTGCCTGTTAAATTTATATTTATATATTCCATATGTATAGTATATAAGAAATAAAATTCTAATAACTCAAAAGACTTTGTTGAGGGAGACTCGGGCCCATCATCCGAGCCGACTAAGGGGGGCTGTCCCCGGACCCTGTCGGGGGAGGTAAGAAATGCGGGCTCTCCAGGAAACAAACCGTGTGAAGAAGGCCGGGTCCCAGGCCTGCGCCATGAGCTGTGTGCAGCCAAGCTAAATCACTGCTTGGTCTGGGGGTGGCAGCAAGTGACAGGGCATTGGGGGACCTTCTCATGTGCCTTGGGGTCACCATCATCACGGTGCAGTAGGTGAGCCTAACACCACCTGCTGGGGTCCAGAGTCATGGGCATTAGGATTTGGTTGACATTCGCCAGCTGGGCGCCCAGCTGGAGCCCGGGGACCATGGAGGAAAAAGAAAAAATCAAAGTCCTAGAAGTTGTCCCCTCAGCAAGGGGCACTGGAAGCAGATCAGCAGGCACAGTGTCGCCTGCCACCCAGGAGTCTCTGCCTTCTCAGGTCCACACTGACACGCTAAGTGCAAGTGTGCGCGCTCTTGCCCTCTCGCACACACACCAGCTGTGGGAGAAACGTGAACTTGGCGAGCTTGGCGACTGTGAGAGCAGTGGCAGAGTAAAGCGAGGCATCTGTTTAAAAAGAGGCCCTTCAACATGTAGGACCCACCTCCTAGAGGAAGGCCCCCCCATACCCCACCCTCACTCCTGAGCCAGGCAAGGCAAGTCCTAGGTGAGAAGTGGTCAGCTGGGTGGGGAGAGGCTTGTCAGACTAAGAAGGGGCTCCCTCTGGACCGTGTCGGGACAGGAGAGTTTGGGAGGGTGGGCCGACAGGCAAAAGGGCCCCGGAGAAACACTGGGTCTATTTAAGGAGGTCTCCCTGGACACAGGAAGAACAGAGGATGGACAGGAGGGTGCGGGATGTCAGAAGGCGGTAGTGGAGAGCAGGTTGCGGTGGAGGGATGTTTATGGGGAGGGGTCTCAACTCTGCTGAGGTCAAATGTCACCTCAGTTGTCCCCTCTGGAGAATGGAAGGTTATGGAATCCGGTTAGAGGTTAGGAGACCTGGGTCCCTGACCCAGCCACGCGACTGCTCTGGGTGCCCGGAAGACGCTGGAAGAGGAGGTGAGGAAGGAAGAGGGTGAGGAGATCAGTGGCATCTCCCTCTGGGCCTCAGCTCCCAACAGCGCGACAGGGAGGGAACACAAAACCCAAGCACCCTCAGCCTTAAGAGACAGAGGCAGGCGGTGCTCTTTGCCTCTCAGGTGCGAATGCTGACTTCTCTTTCCCTTCCCCAGTATCGAAACATCTTAGAGAATTACCTCACAGACTCTATCAAGCTCTCACCAGAAGACCAGTCCAGGAGCAGATGCTGCTGATCCTCCAGTCTCCGTCGGGATGGCCAGAGCCTCAGACTGCCCTGGGACTGCTCGTCCCAGGCTCCCCAGCCCCTCCGCCTGCCCAGTCTCGGCTGGCTCGGCCCCAGCAGCCCCAACCCTGCCACGGAGCCCCGATCCCCCTCATGTCCGTGCTGGGCCCAGAGCCAGAGGGCAGCCAGGGAGGAGTGCAGTGAGCACAGGGGTCCTGAGGACACTCAGAAGGTCACCGTTAAATCCTGGCCCGGAGGAGGCACAGTTCCCTCGCCAGCTCCAGCTTCCCTGCCACCCGCCCTCCCCACACGCACGGCGGCTCCAGAACGCTCATGTCTGCAGGCAGACAGGCCACTGCCTCCGAGTGCTGTGCAGTGGCCTTTCGGGGCCGTGCCACCACACACCCACAGAGCCCCAGCACGGCTGCGGCCAAGGGTGCAGCTCAGCCCCCCTCAGTAATCAGGGCCAGGAAGTGAGGATCCAGTCCTGGGACGTCCTTCTGCCCCCTCCAGATCAGAGGACTCAGGGACTGGGAAAAGCCACCACGGCCTGGCTCACTCCTCCTTGCTGGGTGCTCAGGCAGCTCCCGTAAATCTATCCGAGCCTCAGCTTGTTCATCCATCACACGGGGCGTGGGTACGTCCTGCCCCCATCAGAGTGTGATTTTGAGGACCAGAAGCTCTGCATAAATCTCAGTTACCCGTGTTGAGATTCTTTTATTTATTCTTTCAACAAGTATTTTTCAGTATCTACTACATACCATGTACTGAGGTCCAGTGACAAACACTGGACAAAGCAGACAAGGACTCTGTTTTCCTGGACCCCGCATTGTGTCTAGGGAGAGAAGCAACAGACACAGAGTTTACCCGGATATTTTCAAATAGCAAGTAAGTGCTTAAACAAAGTGAAACAAGACAGAGAGGGACAGCAGTTGGGTGTTGTTTCAGACAAAGTGGTCCAGGAGGGCTTCTCCGAGGAGGTAACATTTGGCCTGCGGGCTGGAGAAGGAGAAAGGGGCTGCCAGCTCAGATCTGGAAGAAGAACACTCCAGGGAGAAGGAGTAGCAAGGGCCAAGGCCCCAAGGCGAGGATAAGCTTCCTGCGTCCTAGGAACAGTGAAAAGACATTCACTCACCTGAGCCCTCAAAACAGCTGCCCCTAAGACAACGAAGGGAGCCCCGCCTTCCGGATGGCTCCTTGAGCCTCTGCCGACTGGCCACCAGAGGGCAGCAGTGCTCTTCTGGTTCAGGCTGAGCGGACATTGGACGCTCCAAGGACACTTGAAGAGCTGGTTCTGGGTAGGTCAGCACTTCAAAATGTGTGGGTCAGGAGAACCCCAATTTCTTAAGCTTCATAAGAAATGAGCAAAAACTGCAACATCAGTGATTCAAGGAAGAAATCCACATCCATGACAAATACTAGAATGAGGGGCCTCGAGAAACTGTGGATTCTCTGTCCCTGTAAACTCTAAGGCCATAATCTTTCTTCTGGTACAGGCAGCGTAGACAGGGCTCATTCTGGGGTGTGGGGTGGACAAGGTGACCTTCTCATGGCCACAGAAGTCTCTTGTCTACAAGGAAGTCTCCTCTCTGAGCTCCGAGCAGAGATGGGATGTTAGTCTATGACTTCGGAGTGTCATCTGATTCTGAAGCTCCCCCAGAGAAAGGAGAGGTGGGGGGATGATTGGGGAGGGAATGGGGAGCCCCTTCTCCCCTGTCCAACTGTGGAGTGAAAACTGACTTGCCCTGGGCAGCGGCACGGACCTGGCAAGGGAGCAGGCGGCCCAGAGCGCAGCCCCATCTCTGTCCTCCACAAGGTGCGTTCTGCACGTCCCTCGGCTCTCCTGGGAGTCAGTGGGACTGGATTAGACGTCTGGTGTGTGGGTGTGTATGCAGCAGCTTGTGCACTGCCGTGGACATGGGGACCGTTTCTAAATATGTACAATAAATAATACGTGTCCTTTGTTTTTATCCTTTGTGGATTTAGTTATTAAATTTTTTAGAAAGTCTCCATAGTTCAAAATTTAAAAGATACTAAGAGGAAGACAACAAAAAGCAAGTAAGACCATTTATGTAACTGGCAGGGCCCACTGCAAAATAAAAATGCCCAGCTCGTGATTTAAAAATTATTAAAAATTTAAAGACAGCAACAGTGGATCATTAAGCCAAGCACAGGGGCCACACACTGCGAAGCTGTCCCTGAGCAAGTACTACGTTGGAGATCTTAGAGCCCCCGGCCAGATCCCCCGGGGCTGCAGACACACTGTAGCTTGTAGATAAAAGAGTCTATAGTCCCTAATTACAGACAGAATGTCCCACGGAGGGTGGAGAGTGAGGTCTGAGGGCCCACAGCATCCCTCCTCTTATGACCAATCCACAAAGCAGAGGGATCTGAAGTGACAAACTGCAGACCGTCCCCACTCCCTGCCTGTGAGTCTGAGACTGGCCTGGCCCTCAGGGGCAGTAAGGGCAGGTGTTGGCAGGGGGAGGCAGCGTGTGGGGACGCCTGCCCAGTGGAGCCTGACAAGGGTGGGGCAGCACTTCCGGGGCCCCTTCATCACCGTCCCTTCAGAGAAGAGGACCCAGGTCAACAAGGCTGCTCTGGAATCCACCAGAGCCCGGCTTTGAGGGGCAGCTCCAGGCAGCTAATAAATAACAGACAGGATCCAGGCCAGAGCTGGGTGGCACATGCCCTTGAGGCTTGAGAAAAAACAAAACCAAATCTAATCACCAAATAAACTTGAGCTGGGCCAGGCTAGGTGCCATAGGCCCAAGGGGGTTTGGGGAAATGCTGACTTTTCTGCTGTTTGCTCCCACTCAGCGGGGGTGTCTCTCCCTGCCCAGCCACCAGGCATGGCAACTCCCCGCAGAGCCAGGCATGGGGCCAGCACCCTCTACAAGGCCTTTTTCCTATGAGTGCACAGGCCGACATGGCCACACAACAGCCAAGCAGGGAGCAGCACCCAAACTAAGCAAGCCGTGCACAGCAGGCCCGGCTGTGAGCGTGCGCTGACCGAGGACACGTCTGCTGTGTGTGCACCTGCGGGCTGCCTCTAAGAGTGGAACTTGGGGGATGGGGGAGGAAGAGGACCAGGCTAAGTGGGGAGTTAGTCCAAGTCATGGGCATTGGCCTGTCCCAGTACCCCTTGTGTGTGTGTGTACTTCAGTGTGTGTGCCTGTGAGGTAGAAGGTGTGTGTGTGCATGGTTTGCTTGTGTGTGTGTGGTATATGTGTATGTGTATGATGCAGTGTATATGTGTCTGTGTGGTTTGTGTGAAGCTAGTGTGGTATGTTTGTATGTGAGATGTGGGTATGTTATGTAGTGTGTGGTGTGTTAGTGTGTGAGATGTGTGTATGTATATAGTATCTTTGTGGGGGGGTATAGTATTTGTGCAATGTGTGTAGTGTGTGGGTGTGCATCGTATGTAGTATGTGGTGTATATGTGGGATGTATGTGTGTATATATATGTACCCTTGTGGGGGGTATAGTGTCTGTGTGGTGTGTATATTACGTGTGTAGTATGCGGTATGTCTGTGTGTGGCTTGTGTGTCTAATGCGGGGTGTGTTTGTGAGTGGGGTATGCATGCACTGTGTTTGTGTGTGCAATGGGAAGAGGAATAGGGACACAGATGCTCAGATTTCCCTGGCTGAAGCACCAAAAAGATACGTATAACTAAGCTCATAGGGTTGGAGGAGAACAAGGGAACGGGCAGAGGGGCGCTGAGGGGCGGGGCGGGGTGGGGCAGTGACGCTGCTGAGAGCCCTCCTTGTGCCAGGGAACCCAGCACAGCCCGCGGGGAAGGCATTAGCCCCATTTTTCCAATGAGAAGACCGAGTCCTCCACTTCCTGTTCTCTCACCAGCCCTGGTCCTGTTCACACCACCTTCAATCCGTTTCCTCCTCCCTCGTCCGCTGCTTCAGCGGGTCAGGTGAGCAGCATGCCTAGCCCACGCTGCGCCCCTGTGGGCTTCCCGTCTGTCCGCTCACCCTTCCCCAGCCACTCGGCACAGCAACCACCCCAGTGAATAAGATGCTCCGGTGGTCCACAAGGCCATCTACCATCAGCAACCACCCGCTGTCAGGTCTCAGCTCTGGCCGCAAATGTAGGAACTTCCCTCACCTCCCCAGGATGCTGGCTGCCTGCCATTCCCTCGCCCTGGCTGTCGGGGGACCTCTGTCAAAAACACAGGCCCCTCTTCTGGCCCTTCGCCTGCTTAATCCCACACTAGCTTTAGTAGTCAGCTTCAACATCGGTTCCCCCAGCAAGGCTTCCCTGCCCCCCAGACCGGGTAAGGGACCCTGCCATGTCCTCCTCCCAAAGCCCCCGCTATCTCAAGGCCACGGGACAGGGATTTTCATTGGCATTATTCACCATCACCCCCCACCCCCGTGCCCAGGGCAATGCATGAAAAGTGGGTGGTACTCAAAATATATTTTTGGGAGGGAGAGCACTTGCAATACTATCATAATTGTCTGTTTGCTGTTAGACTGTGGTCTCCCTGAAGGCAGGGTCTGTTTTGTGCCAACATTTTAACCCGGTACTCAGCACAGAGATTGGTGCATAGTAGAGGATAAGTAGATATTGTAGAATACAGCAGAATACTACGCAGCTGTTTTTTAAGAGCAGAATGATGAGATGTTCTGTGTCATGACGTGGAATAGATAGGTATCTGACAGGCACTGTTGCATGAAAGGGCAATAGCCTGTGTATAATATGCTGTCTTTTCTATAATAAGAAGCTTAAATAAGACTTTACATTCATTGTAACTTGTACATAAGGAAAATTCTAGAAGGATGCATAAGAAATCAATAAAAGCAGTTACCTTTCAGAGTGGGGACTGGACAAATGCATATCAGGAGTGGGAGCAAGATTTTTTCCTTACGTGATTTTATACTTTGAATTTTCAACTTTTTGAATGTATTATAAAATGAAAAATTTAAAACAAAGAAAATAAATATTGAGGGAAGAAAGAGAAGGAGGAAGAACAAGCAGAAAGAGAGGTGAACTCTAACCAGCTGCCTCCAGTCAGTTACACCCCCTGGCCTTGAATCCAAGGCCAACAAATTTGAATTCCGTTGCAGGAGGACACATACCTAAGATGTTCCCCCATGCCCACATGCTCTGGCCAAGATCCCAAGTCTCCTGGGTGAGGCAGGGTCACCTTGACTTTCCTTTGTTCTCCTGTGTCCTAGAAGAGGATCCTGTGACCCAAGATGTCAGTCAATAACTGAGTGTTTCCAATCTCAAAGGCTCAGCTCTGGAGATAAACTATCAAGCGTGTGCATGGCTCTGTGAATTACCATGTGAATCACTGCACTTAGGGGTAGGTATTTCCCAAGGTTATTCACGGGGCTGACCAGGGAGTCAACACTTTGCAGCCCCCTCTCCTAAGCCCTACTCTGATCCCTG